TGCGATCGCGCGGCTGGTTTTTTCCTCGTCTCGAGTACGCGTGGAACGATAATCGGCGAACAACACGCGGCCGGCCGGCTGGCTGGCTGGCGAGCGAACGCGACGCAGAAAATACGGGCGTGTATTTTTAATGAGGCGACCGACCCGCCGTCGCGCGCGCGTGCGAGTATGCGGACGCTCGATGCGCGTCGCGTTTCGCACGTACGCGCGCGCCCGCTTTCCACCTCGCTCTCGAGCTCTCTCGCGACGTCAATAACGAGCGTGTCCTCCCTCCTCCCCGGTTCTTTTTTCCTTTCCTCCTTTTTTATTCATTCACGCTCGACTCGCAGTCCGTCCTCTGGCGGAATAATAAGTAATTTCGATGAGTGCACGGATATTCCGGGGTTTCCAAGAGGAGGAGGGAGGGGATCGTGAAGAGTACGCAGGTTCCATTAGCTAAATTCTTAATGAAAATTTGCTCGTTGATGTTTGGACTCGGCGAGCGACGCAACGCGCGCTAACAAAAGGAATGTTCGTGCGCAACGAGGAAGCCTTCGAGGTTTGCGGTTCGCTCGCTCACTCGCCTCGGCGAAATCACGTCGAGGACAGAAAGAGAGAGAGAGAGAGAGAGATCGCGTCGGTCTCGTGGATAATCGGCGGGAAAATTATTTCCCCCAAGCGCGTGCGGACGCGTCCTTTTTCGGGATTGTAACGAATACCGGTCAACCGTGCGATAAGTCTGAAACGCGCGGCAGATAAGGATACGGATAATATGGAAGATCACATACCTCGGGCGCGGATATCTATTGATCAGGACCCACGTCCACGCGAGGAGATAGTCGAGTGCGCAACGGTCGCACCTCTGCGATCTTACGATACATCGCGATTCCCGACAGTGAGCTGTCGAACATCCCGATTGACCAACGCGCGAAACATTCCGCCGATATTCTTTATTCGTTTTTACTTTTAATTTACATTTCTTTATTTATTAGCACGGGAACCGCCGAGCTTGGGCATCCTGCTAAAACCGTCATAGAAGCCACAATTTGGCCTCTATTTTAATTTCCGGTTTATTTGATTAGCGAAGAGTTATTTGTTGACATTAATTTGACATTATTTGCATTACTTGAGATTATATTCACATTTAAAGTAACAAAAAGTCGGGAAAAGCTATTAACCAGCAATAAACATTTGTAAGATTTGTATTTTTAAGGGTCGGTGGAGTCAAAACAGCACTGATGGTGGTTCTAGTGTTAATACGTTCGCTGCCAATTACGAGCATACCCGTAGTTGATATATGAGCCTCATAAGCCAACTACGAAAATATTCGTATGTCAATTACCGACCTCTCATACCAAGCACGAGTTAATCCGTAGTATAAACATGTTGATTTGGAGCCTTGACTTGTGAATAAAGCGGAGAACACATCTGGAAGCTTGGTAGAAGGAAATATCCATTTTTTTACAATAGATAAGAATGTGTTACGAGTACAATCGCATGCAGACATTTATATTTACATATAAGAGAGAGTTGCCGAAATCGTACTATTTAAGTTATTTGTTAAATACTTTTATATCACACAGAAAAGATATTACAATTCGTTCAAGTTTTGGTTACATCTTTTCACTGCTCACATTTGTTTTTTATATATTTATCACCAAATCGTGCTTATATTCGACTTAATTACGAAAAGAAGTAATGAGGTATGATTTGGGTGACTGGTTCGAATCAGACAATTCTTCCCTACACGAATGCATTTAAAGTCTAAGTTAAAGCGTTAAAAAGGCTGAACACAAATAAAATTAGTGAGTTGTGTGGACGTAGCCAGCCGTCAACATTGAAACGGCAAAAGAGTCGCATGAAGTTAGATAATAGCGGTAACGTCGAGTTACACGCGTGATGGGGTCGTGGAAAAAATTGGTTCTAAACAAATGGAACAGTTTGAAATAGTCTATGTAGGGTATTATTTCAAGTTAATATCGAAGAATAAAATATTCTCGAGAGATAGGCGAGATAGATACGGGTAAATGCGAAATAGCGCGGAGGCGTCGAACGGAGCCTCCGCGACATCGATCGTTCCGTGGGAGGGTGGCGGGGAGGAATAGGGCGCCTCTCACTTTCGTTCCGTCGCGCGCGCGAGAAATTCGAGACGCCCGGTGTCGAAATGCTATCCGCCGCGCGGGAAAGACAGTCCTCATTAGCGACAGCGTGAGCTTGCGGCGACGGGGACGACGACAACGATGACGACGACGGTGACGGTGAAGGCGAGGCAAAGCCTCTCGCATAGGAATTACCGTAACCGTGAACATAAGACGTAAATTTAGACTAAGGAAATCGGGATAATGCTTTAGATTTGTATATTCCAGAGTCTCTCAAGCAAGAGTCTGACCATCCCGACTTCTCATTGATTGCTCTAATTTCTTATTTCATACAAAATGGTGGAATTGAGGATCGCCGTATAAATGGACTCTATTTGCAATTAAATATTATTCTGAGGTGGGAGGTAAATATTAATAAAATCTAATGAAAAAGTTAATTTTTAAGAAATTAATCTACATCCATTTTTGTATAAATGGTATTGTACATCCTCAGAAAAATGTGCCCGAACTTGATATGGGACGCTCTAAGGTAATTCATAGATAAAGACATTTTAGAGCGACGAGTCAGACGTTATTTTTTTTTTCTATCAAAAAGTCGGAGGTGGTCAGATTCTCGCTCGTGGGGCTCTTGTGTGCTCCAGAAGAAGATGGAAGTAGCCGTAAATAGGAGATTCAGACCGAGTGACTGGAATTTCAACCAGCCGAATTCTATTTCTACTTACGATCAGATTTACAGTCAATTCTATCCTCTCTTCTAGAATACCGAAACAATATCCTGATTGGTTCTTCAGCCGAAATTTACGTCTCGTGTCTACGATTACGGCAATTCACGTGCGCAACATCCTACGGCTTATTACACAATCAGTCGTGCGTCGGAACACAGCCGACGGTTCGAAGAGAGAACTCGTTTTCGAGAAATAAATTTTCTTATTAGCCATCGGCTCGTTGTGTACTATAGGCCTAAGGCCTGTACTACAACACGTTGGAGCCGGGACGCAGTCGATGAGATGATTTATTTTTCGAAAGCGAGTTCTCATTGGACCATCGACTGCGTTCCGACATCCGACAACGACATACGACGTTTTGTAGAACAGGTTTAAGGGTGGCTTGGCTTTCGTCTACGTTGCGACGACACGTGAATCCGCGCAATATCGCGGACAGCTTATACAGTTTAGGCTTAGAAGAGGCTTTCCGATCATTTTCGCGCTCCGGCGCGAACGGATGCGACCCTCGCGCCGATAAAGGCATCGCGCTATCGGCTTCGCTGTTAGACCACAAACAGCCCGTTCAGAGAGAGAGTTCCGACGCGCGTTCGCCGGCGGCCTCGCGCGATATCTCTTATCTCGCGTGTGTACTTATCCGTACGGGCGTTATCGCGATCACGAGCGGGAGATGAGTTCGCGTTAAGTAGACGCTTTTACCCGGTTCACTACGTGAACGCGATTGCGTTTACGAGCGCGCGCACAGGAGCCGCTCGAGAGCGCCGGTATTATTATTAGGTTCGTCGCCAGTCTGGCAAGGATAACCCGATTCACCGATGGTCGCGGAAAGTTCACCGAGATGATACCTCCCTTCCGCCCGGTTGCGAGAAATTAAATTCCCAGTGTCGTCAGAGATTCCGGCTTGGCTCACAGTCGGGAGAAAAAATCGGGATCTCTCCGAGTCCCCACGTACGTTTAACGTTAAGGTACCCTTACTTTTTATTCGAGAGAGAGAGAGAGAGGTGTGGTAATTAAAAGAGGAGAGTCGGGGAATTTGTAACGCTTAGAAAAGCGCCAAACGTGCGATCGTAAATGTAGAATCGGAAAATGAAACAAACCTACGCGTGTCTGCGATTGCTTCTTAGAAATTCCAGAAATTTTGTTCCCTTCCACCAAATCGCGTTGGATTTCCGACTGGTGCAACCAAACTGATTTCTCAGTGCAATGAAAGGATGATGTGTGTATATGTGTGTGTGTGTGTGGTGTATACTCGTACTCGTACTTTTCTATACGTTTTCCATGCCCCATACATGTTAACTAATGTAAAGGATTTTAATATACTGAGACAATAATAAGGGGAATTATGCATGAATTGATTTCCCCAAGTATCACAAGAAATACATTCGATGACTTTGTAATAAATACACGGTGCGAATTTTTCTCTCTTCTAACACATATCGCACAAGTAACATTTCATTATTTCCACACATTCATTATCTCTATAAATAAATAGTTCATAAAATTACCTCTACTTCGCTACCCCCCCGTTATCACATAATTCAAGCAAAAAAATCCAACTTGCTGTTCAGATCGAGTCTCTCACGTGAGGCGAGTTTCAAGTATCGGCTGTTAATATCTGCGTGTCGGGGACGTTGGTATTCTTCGACCAACGCCGACGAATCTCGGAAAGAGACGCGCGTTCCCACGATCGACGAGCGGAAAGAGAATCGCGCCCCCGACTTCGATCCACCTCCCTCCCCCCTTCGGCCTCTGCGCATATTCGCGCGCCTCGGCCACGCGCGCGCCTCCGAATCTGCTAGCTCGTAAACTCAGACTTTTACGCGCTCACTCGCTTGCGTTTCCACCTTCTCTTCCGCGGTATATTTATTTCAGCGGTTTCGCAGCGCGGTGTTGCTCTCCCGCCGCGCCTCTGGCGACAGCAACGGCGACGGCTTCCGCGCAAAAAGCCACGACGATGGTATAAGGTCGCGCGCGCCGCCGGTGCCGTAAAGCAAGCCGCGACGGGATGGGGGGGAGGAGGGACGGTAGCCGCGAGCGCGGCAGCCGAGGCGAGAAGGGGGTGGTGGCGTGGCGCTCGAAAATAAGGATAATGACAGAAGAGGCGCGGGCGGGAGCGCCATTTACTGCCGCGAGCCGACGATCGTTCGCCGCCAACGCGCGTATACATATATATATATATATATATATTATGTGTGTGTGTGTAAGTGCGCGCCTCGCTCGTATATAGTCGCTGAAACGACGCGTTCGCGTTTCGACACGAGCGCCGAGGCAGTCAGCCAGCCAGGCAACCGACCGACCGACCGACCGACCAACCAACCAGCCAGCAGCCAACCATCCAGTCGACCGGGTCATTATGACTGCCAGGCTAACGCCAACGGGCTATGCATCATTAATGGTCCTCGTGCCACTACCGGCCGCGGCTCCCACGATACACGGCCGCGTATATATTCAGCGCCGCCGCCGCCGGATCGTTCCGCGTATTTTCATAATTTTCTACCGGGTGTCCGCGAAGCACCGCCGTCCGTTGATCAGCAGAGGTGCGGATGAAGCGGTCCAAGCGAGACGCGCCGGAGGTCGTTTCGAGTGATGTTCGACCGAGACACTTCGGGGGCAAATTTTCTCCCATTATTTCGGACAGTCCATTTTCCGTATTAAGGTCCGTATTTTTGAACTTCCCTTTAGCGATAAGTGCTTCGAAAGTAACTTGTAAACCACCCGATTGGCTAAGAAACGCCTTTAACACATTTTCATCAGTAAGGAAGAGTTCAGAATGCGGGCCTGAACTTTGAGTTCGACGCTCTTCCGATTAGCGTTCGCAATTTCGACCGCTCGGATGTAACTAGCGGCATGTGTGCTGTTTTTATTATTCCCTAGATTGAAGCTTTTTATTACTGAGCGATTTTCTTTAGCCTTACACGTGTTCACACGTCAAGTTGAAGCTGTTATGATTGGAGTCATCACACTGAGAACCCATTCAGTCGAATCAACTAAATTCTGATTCGACTATGAGCAAACAAATTTTTCGGTTGTAATAATAAAGTTTGGTTGTCTAAATCGAAGGTTTAGTTCTTTGAAGTTTCAGAGGTTGCAAAGAACCAAACCTTTGGTTCAGAGAACTAAACCTCGGTTCTCATAATCAAAAAATTTGTTTGCCTATAGTCAAACAAGAGTTCAGTTGATTCAACTAAATGGGTTTCTCAGTGTATAACTAGAGTTGTTTCTGCGATTTTCCACCTCATGCGTTATATACTGAAAATCATACGACTATCCTAGCCTTTAGGGAATGGCACACAGGACATCGTATCCGAGGAATTACCCGGGTCATTGAGCATAATTTCAGACGTTGGAAATTACTGATTTTTCCAATTTCGGTGACAACAAACGAATGTATTAGGGGGACCGGAAAGTAATGTCGTTTCTGCGCATGTCGATATTTGATTGTCATTTGGTAGCTCATTACGTACTTGGAAGGCGTGTCAAAGAGATTTTGAGGTTAGGAATAATTAAGTATTCTGAATAATTAAGTATTAGACTTTTTTTTTGCAATTTGGGGTGAAATGGCCAGCCAAATACCAAAAGAGCATATCCGGCATTGTATGCTTTTTGAGTTTCGCAAGGGTAATACCGCAACTGCTGCGACTAAAAACATTTGCGATGTTTATCCAAGCGCATTGGACGTTCGAGATACCTCTTGAAACGATTCTATTTTTAAGTAACGCTGATAGAAGGAAAAGAATTCCTAAGAAACCAAAGAAGGGGACTAGGAATCAGGAAAATAAAAGATACTTATGTATAATCTGTAGTGAAGAATACACTGAGCCTAAAGACCTAAAGATTCAATACACGATCGGTGTTGCAATGAGCAGCAGGCTAACGAGTTTTGCACATTGTATTTACGATTTGCTAGCTACTTTTGTGATGAATTTGCTGATTAATTGCAATTTTTACATCCCAATTCTTTGTCCGCGTGCCATGTTCACTTTACCCGACGGGCGAATAACTTTCTATTTTCAGTTTTTATCAAATAAGAGGTTTAAAATATTTTAGGTTGATAAATTTATTTCCACCCATAAAACGATTATTACATGTAGAATAGAATTAGGAATTAGGAGAATTTATTATCTCAATAATCTGTTTATCTTTCACTCACGCATTTTCTACACGTATTCACCTGGCTTCCCCTATATATCCCTATATATTTCTAAACGTAGAGATTTCCCCTTGCGAGGCTGAAAATCGCGTGAATTCCGATCCGGGCAGTAGCTTGCTGCAACTTCGGAACAAATTCGCCCAGTATAATCGCGAATAGAATAAATGCGAAAATTACAACCTAAAATGAAAACTAAAGACTGATTAATTCGATGAAATAAAACAAGAGCCTTAGCACGTTACGACTCAAACCCGCGGATGGAGGACTAATCCGCACGTGTGTGGGCCGCGATTAGCGCGTGTGAGAAGTCGGCGCCAATGCGCGCGGCGTCGTCGCCCGCGCGCTCTCGACGCGTCTGATATTTATTGCGAGTTATTACGTCGCTCTCTCGCCGCGCGGATTCACGGCACGCTCGTTCGCTCCGCGAGGCGCGCTCGCGCGAATCGACGCGCCGGTTACACGGAGAGATATCGCCGCGCCGTGTCGCGCCGTCGGACCGGGGGAAACCAGTCGTAACCTGGATATTTATGGCGCGTGCGATTGCGATCGTCAAACGAACGATCCGCGCGCGTGCGGATGCTCGATTTAATTGTAAGTAACGGTAGCCGGCGGCGCGGGAGCGCGTCAGCGCGACGAATCGAACGCAAGGATACGCGACGTCCGTCCGTTTATCTGATCATTCTCCATTCTCTCCCGTTTGTGTTAACAGGTATGTCTTTCTCGCCGAGCGCATGAAAACGCACACGGCGAGGGAATTTTGCGGCAGAAGTCGGTGGAGAATTTTTCAAACCGCGAGGAACACATATCGACTTATTCCGCCTTACTTGATTATCTTTCCGTCTCGCGTTATTATTTGCACTTTGAGAACTGAAACCACCATTGACATATTTACCATATTCCTCTGTAAGATAAACTTTATTCATGGTTTATTCCTGCGCATCGTTAAGAAATCGCGAAAATACCGGTGAAAAGATTTATATGTGAAAATAAGAAACCACGCGAAAATGATTCTTTCTCTGTCATCTTGCGGCGTAGTCGAGCGTGATTAATTTTGAATAATTAGTATTTGAATAATTTAAAAACTGGGGATTCTGACATCTCGCTCCGGTACTCTTCCTCCGATCGATTTGTCACGAAGGAAAACAGATATCACCGTACCAAGTCCCATTTTGAATTTCAAAATACTACATTATAAATCATATTTGGCAACATTCAGCACAGATTTATCAAACTTTTTCGTATTGTATTAACCACTACCTTTCTAATAATATTATCTATTCAATAGGAATACAGAGAATACAAAAGATGAGTTTTCAAAAATAATTTTTCTTTCCGAAAAATGAATAGCGTAAATAGATATTTTTGTTTCTATAATAGATATTTTTGTAAATAGATATTTTTGTTTCTATAAAACTTGTATATAAAACATTTTTTGATATTTTATTCAGTTCACGAGATATATTGAAACCAGTGAAAATCTCTTTGTCTTACATATAAAGATGGTTTCATCCCTTCAAAACGTTTCACAACTCCAACTGAAAATCTCCAAATTCATTTATTTACCCAACCTATATTCACGTCAAGTTTCATTAAAATCTGCATTTTCGCGAGGACCCCTCGTAAATAATAGAGAAACAGGGTTATACGCGTCTTGCGCGAAACGTGTGAGAGGCCGTAAGCGGGTGCGCAGGAGGCAAGAGTTAGCCACGGTAGCTGAAACAGGGACAGCTAATGTCGTTGTTATCGCAGCTAATAAATTCAGTTGTAACAGCAACGGCATTAGCTATTGAAAGTAAAACGCATTTGCCGCAAGGCTACAACTGCGTAGCTCGCCGTAGCGTCTCGGTCTTCGAGCAGCTGATCAATTTCACCTAACCCGCGGTAACAATGACGACGGCGGTCAGTCCCTGGTTTACTTCCTATTCTTTCTCCGCGTGGGAGAAAATTGCGTAAGCTTCGTGTGTGACCCGACATGTCAGGGTTAGGAGAATTTTCCGCGCGCGGAAAGAGAAACTCGCCATTCATAGCCCCGGTCGATTATTAGATCGATTATCCCGCCGTAGGTTAATACACTCGCGATACATATCGGCGATAGCGCCTATAGTCGCTTATAGTCGTCCCGAATACATAACTCGATCGTCGCCGGCGCGGTCTACGCGCGCGATAAGCGGTGCGAGCGAGCGGCGACTGATTATTATTTTTCTACCCGGCCGCACATAGCGAGAGCGCTGAATGACTACGGCCGTTACTAATTCAAGAACAATGAGGTTTACAGCCGACGCGCGCGGCCAAGGGGTTAAACGCGTTTCGTACCTCTAACGAGATAGACTGCATACGTGCTCCGTTCAGCCGTTGTTGAATCGCCGACGCGCTGCAAGGTCTAGTGCAGCCGATGTTGCTGTTGCTGCCACCTGACTGCGGCAACCCAGTGTCGCAATAGTTACGCGAATTAACTCCACGATTAAACGCGCCGCCGGGGGAGCGCGAGTTACCGATCGATCGTTCGCGCGCGTACCGGCAACGCGGTCGACGCGATCCGAGATGTGTTTCGTGACAGCCGGGAGTTGCCTAATTCGTCCAAATCGTATCTCATCATTTTTTCGCCATTTGCTAAATATCAATGCAATTCAGCAGCAAATATTAGGGGGACCGGAAAGTAATGTCGTTTCTGCGCATGTCGATATTTGATTTGATTGATTTTTACCGCTCCGGCACTGAAAATTTGTATACTAGATGGCAAAAGGTTGTTGATAACGAAGGTGAATATATTGTTGATTAGAAATAAAAACTTGTTAAAAATGTAGTCGTGTGAATTTAACTTAAGAAAGCGACATTACTTTCCGGTCCCCCTAATATATCGAGGTCTTGATTAAGCGATTACAAGGTAATCTTTACCGTGGCAAACCTAATCATATACTGATCAAAATTGAGCAAGGAAGACCTTCGTAAAGTCGCTATGATTAAGTACGCATTAGGACCTTCGGTATATTGTCCTAATTGTTTTGTGAAATTTTACCGATCAGGTCATTTTAGGCCTGACATCTTACTTTACCTATTATAACTTGTGTCATCAGTTTCCAACACGGACTTTTTGTAGCAAACTTAGTATGTACAGGGTGTTCCAAAATGGACAGTTTTCTTTTTTTAATTACGCCGACTAAAATAGAGATACATAATTTAGTTCAAATAAAAATTTATTGAACGAAATTACTGGCTAAATACAACATTCTTTAAATGGCGCCCATCAACAGCGACACATTCGCGAAGTCGATCGACGAAGTTTTCGGACACTTTTTTTCACGATAGATTTAAATATCGCGGCCATTTCTTTTTCAATTCGACCCTTCAGGTCATCGGTGTCTCGTGGTTTCGCCATAAATTCGTGATTTTAAATAATTTCATAGGAAAAATCGGTAACCGTGAAATCCGGCGAGCGGAATGGCTACACAGCAAATTCAAGTGTGTTATTTCAGCTGAGGCTTTCCTTACACATTTTAGACCGTTGA